TAACTTGAACCTTTAATTCTTGATTATTTTCCATAAAAGTGGCATAAAATAAGGTCCATGTGAATATTTACACTATTTTTCCCCCCTCTATCAAATTGTTGTTATTAACCGTAGTGAACATTCACATGAAAATTCCTTGTGTCAGATGTTGTTGTGATACATAATTATGTTGTGAACATTCATTACATGTGTAAATTAATTAGACACTTTGTGATTAACCATTGTGTTTAGAGGAAATATATCATTTTGTTATCCCATGTTTGAAATTGTATTTCAATTTTGAGGTTATATTATAAAATTGACATTGCATGATTGTAGTAAGTATGTGCATTGTCATACAAATTAGTACTGTAAATATTCACAACATCCTTTTATATGTTTGGATTAACATCCACATGTTCTTGAATGTTGATCACAGTTGTATAAACATACATTGATTTTTACACACTCACACACTATACACATTGTGTTTGTGCTGACACAGTCAACATCCACATCTATGTACAGATGTGGATATTCATATCCATGCACAAAACTGTGGACATTCACACCCATGCACACAACTGTGAACATTCACATCTATGGCAATGCTGTGAATGTTCACATCTGTTCCACTATGCTAATCACATGAGCCTCGTCTTAATTTTTTTTAATGCTCTATTTTGCAGATATTGCATAGAAGAAAACCTCAAGGAGAAAAAGAGATGAGTACCATGTCAAGGAAGAAAGCCCACAAGCAATGCGACATGTCAACTACAGATCTAACATGACCGAACTTGTGAAATTAATGAAAAACACCAAATTTACAAAAGCACAGCTCAGCTGCCTGCGGCAAACACTTTTCTGGCATTTATCAGATGCATTGAGAAACGGTGAGATCAACCTTGACAAATGCCTGAAGTACGATGATGTTGTTGTGCATGTCTTACAAATGTACAAGGCTTCAAAAGATACCTTCTACATTGGGAAGAAGAAGATGAACATACATGACAACAACATTAAGCTGATTTTTGGTGTGGACTGTGGCACCAAGTCAATGGACATATCATATGGTGCGAAACCAAAGACTGGCGTTATAAACAAAAGGTGCAAAAAATGTCAGCCGGTTTACTTCAAAATGGATACGCACCCTTTTGATCAAGGCATTGAGAGGCAAAAAGAAAGATGACAACGAAGAAGTCGTCCGACTAATCCGCATGTATACTTGCCAAAAACTTTTTTTCTCGACAAGCGGTGAGACAATAAGATGGGGCTACTACGCACATATGGTCCCATTAGAAAACATGCAAGCATATGATTGGGCAAAGCAAATTAGAACAAAGTTGACATCCACCATTTCCCAAAACGACAAAAAGTCGACAAAAGTCACCAGCTGTGTCATATTATTAATGGTAAGTACCCATGTTCTAAAATAATAAAATTCACATGTCCTTGAGTGTTGTTCATCTATGCCAACTGTGAACATTCACATCTGTACCACTAATGTGAATGTTCATATGCACTTATGTTTTACAGATGTAAATGTTCACATCTGTACCATTGATGTGAATGTTCATATTCACTTATGATATACTACTGTGAATGTTCACAACAGTACCACTGTTGTGAATGTTCACATATGTTGACATTACTATACAAAGGCTAAGTAACATATGTCTTTGTTATTTTGTTGAAGTATTGGTTGTGTGAGCACACAACCATCCTACAACCTCACAAGCTCAATGTCATTCCTCACTCTGTCAAGTGGGATTTGACTGCTTTACAGAAGAAGATAAAATCCACCTCTTTGGCTGATATTGGTTTTAATGAGGTATGACCTTCAACTGTTGATCAAAATATTTACATTATGACACCACCCAAATATATACGTTAACTAACATAACTTTTTCATTTCAGGGTAATGCCGGCAAACTCTTTGCAACCCCAATAGAATTACAAAAGTTCAGGTGTACAACATTGTAGGTCGAGCTCGAAATTTATAAACCAGCCACCACATCTCCCAACCTCTCTAACATCAAGGAAGAACAACATAGTGGCAGCAACTCTCAATTTTCTGGGGATAGAGTTGAGCTAAATGACAGTGATGAAGACATTCACATTCCCTTTAACAGCCCACATAATGAGAGAGCTATTGTCATAGCAAGCACAAGCCAACCCAACATCATCGATATGCTTGTCAAAGAAAATCAGAAGGCTTGGGGAATCATAAGGCAGTGAGAAGCAAAACACAAACACCTTCAATTCTCATAGGAGTTAAGGGCAAGAGTGATAGCTGATCTTGGAGATAAATTGTTCAACCAGTCAAGCCCACCCAACATGAATAGTGAAATAAAAAAGTGCATGGAGCAGAAGGATAAAGAAATTAAGCGCTTAACGCAGCTGGTCATCGACTTAGAATACGAGAAAATAGTTCTTCAGGACCTTTACGATGATCAGTCAGTCCACATTGTCACAAAGGCCGAGGCGCAGAAGTAACCCCCCGCCCCAATGCAACACAATCTCAGCCCACCTTCTAGGGTGAAGCGCATAAAGGAGAAAGATCGAAAAGAGCATCGCTTGCCTGATTTCTTGTACCCAGACTTACTTGGCCAAAAAAAAGAGCATGATCGAGGTCCAAACTAGCCCCATACAGTCCACATAGTTAAAGATGTAGACAAACACCCACCAGCGAAGCACCTAAATTTTTTTTTGACCTTGACCAACAAGTTCAAAGTCTGGAGCATGACGTCCAAACACGACAAGCAAAAGGTCCAGGCTTTACAAAATAGTGGAGGCGATGAGTAAGTAATCGTATGAACATCTAATGTCAACATTCACATTCCATAATTATAAATATTCACTACTGTACTTATTTATTTGATTTGTTCAAAACTGTGCAATGTTAATATTCACATTGGTTTGTTTAAAATGCACAGATTGCATGTGTGGAAAGGAGATTCGAAGTCTACATACGTGTATTTTGATGACATTGTGAACCTTATCAAGGAGGAATCGATACACAACAATGTATGCCATTACCAAGATGATTCACTGTTCATGCATATACACACAGACACACACACACACACCCACCCACAGCAACATACACACATTGTCCACCCACCACAAATAATATAATACGACCTTGTGTTTGTGCAGCTGATAGATGCATATATCGAACTATTACACGAACAACAAGAGGTGGTCAACCCAACTTCAGATGAAGCCTCATCCATCTTCACGAGCATGTGTTTGGTAAAATCTAACATTCTAGTTTTGCTAATGTGAATGTGAAACTTCATAGTCCATTAATTATTTGTCCAATGTGTACAGAAAGTGATATGAGAGTACCATCCTCACAAAAGAAGTAAACATATTGATGCACATGTGAAAAACTACCAAGGAGAGAGATACCTACTATTCCCATTGCACCATGACTTCCACTGGACGATCGTTGTATATGATGCTAAAGACAATTTGCGGAGGCATTATAACTCATTACGCCCAAGGACTGGCATACATGACCCGCAAGTCGACCAAGCACAGGAAGTTGTAAGTGGATCTTATCGTACACAAATATGAATTGTTGTTATGTGTTAAATTCTAAAAATGAATGTACACATACATATGTTCGTTGGTGCCTAATGTGAAATTCCCTACACAGAGGGAGTGCATCGAGAACGTTGTGCGCGTTATTGGCGAGTCATTACCACTATGGACTAAGTTAGTAGGCCAAGATTCGTCACAACCAATCATATCAGTTGGTGTCTGTCCTCAGCAAGGCGACGACTCGTAAGCCTCACTACATTTTGTACAAATCCTCCATAACCATTATGCAAACATACATGTCAAGTACTAATCATAACCATTTTGCATTTACAGGGTGGATTGCGGGCCTGCAGTATGTTACATCATGTGGGCGCACATATACTATGAAGAAATTGTTGGCAGCCTCACTAGTTCTGAATGGTGTGGACTACGAGACTTATTAGTACACAGTTTTTTGAATCATAAGAAAACACAGAGTCATTAAGCCTATAGGTAAGGGGTGTCTACCTACAAACTAACCAACACTCGATGTGAATGTTAATATCAATTGCTTTGACATTTTGACAAACAACAATTGATTGTAAATCAATGATACGACATCTATTAATGGAAAAAAAAGTCACTTGTGAATTTTGATCTACCTTTGGTGTTGCTATGTTAATTTATGCGATTGTTTGAACTCGATTGTTCTATAATATACATATTTTGTGTAGGAATGTTCACATTGTCTACATGACATCATTACAGATAATATACACATGTGTGAATATTCACATTTGTTCTTATTCATAACAGTTGTGAATGTTACTCATCTCTGCCAAATGTGAACATTCACATCTGTACCACTGATGTGAATGTTCATATGCACTTATGTTTTACAGATGTGAATGTTCACAGTTGTACCACTGATGTAAATGTTCATATTTACTTATGATATATTGCTGTGTTGTTATGTTAATTTATGCGATTGTTTGAACTCGATTGTTCTATAATACACATATTTTGTGCAGGAATGTTCACATTGTCTACATGACATCATTACGGATAACATACATATGTGTGAATATTCACATTTGTTCTTATTCATAACAGTTGTGAATGTTCACACCATGCCAATCTGTATGCATGTGAAAGTTCACATCACAGTTTATATTCATGTCAACATTGACAACAATAATGTAAAAAAGTTCAACCCATGTGCGAGTATTTACACAATATGATTCTTTTACACAAGTGTGAATGTTCACATCATGTATTCATCATTAAAACATCAACAAAAAATCAATTTGGTACCAAAAAAAAAAAAAAAAAAAACACAAATCAAATACTAAGTTTGCCAAAGCATTATTATGTTTGTCAACACAACGTAATCTTATTACAACACAATGTTTGCCAACACAACACAATCTTATTTCAAAAATCAATATAAGAATCCCATGTAAAACACAATATTGAAATGAAAAATGTACACCCTATATCAGCTCCTTGAATGATTTCCTATTATGGCTTCCTAATTTATCACATCTCCCGCACCTTATTTGCTTCAGTTTCTCACTGCTTGATAGGATTCTATTCTTTTTCGGCCTTCCAGGTGGTCTTTTCACAGTTAGTGGGTATATAGTGAAGTCCGTGGGATCAAAAGGCGGCTTTTCCACCGATGGTATAGGGAATATAACACCCGAATAGGCTGCACGATATGTCTTTACATGAAAGTAATGTTCCACACAATCACTGAGATTATAGTGGTTCCTCTGAATAGCAATAACAGCATAGTCACAGGGGAATCCATTGATTTGCCATTTGAAGCAAGAACACGCACGCCTTGCAATATCAACTGTAACAAATGGTATCGAATGAACTTCAAACACATCCTTATTGGCTTTGTTGACTTGCCAAGACCTTCTGTCGTTGAATGAATCAAGAAGCATTGTTTTGAATGTAGGACAAATAAGCTCATTCCACTTGTTTGCCTGGTCACGCCGTGCAGACATTTGCTGTATCAACTTAGTACGAATTGTGTCCACCATTTGAGTGATAGGAAGATTGCGTGCTTCTTTAATCCAATTATTAAATGACTCCGCTGTATTGGATGTCATCTCCCAATAACGCATGTCCCTACACAACATCACAAACATTGTACAATACTGAATTTAATTTCTTTGAAACTGAATATGAAATTTCACATCACCACAAAACATAACGGCAAATTCACATCGCTACCATTCTAAACTTGACAAATGGAATACATTAGGAAACTACTATTACCTGAAATATGAATTCCCCCAGTGCTCAGGTGCCAAGTCCTTGAAAAAATTATGTACTCGTTGCTTACCCTTATCTTTTAATTTCTCAAGTTTTTCATGGAACCTTACCACAGTTGGCTCGTGAGCATAGTCATCCAAACTACTAACTAGGTGATCCCTAAATCTATTATTAATTCCTTTCATCCAGTCTTTTAAATTGTTCTTCAAGTGTTGTAAGCAATAACTATGGTGAGCCGATGGAAACACCTTCGGCATCGTTTCTGACAGACCAAGATTACGATCCGAAATAAAAGTAATCTGACGCTTACCATTAACAACTTTCCCAAGTTCGTGCAAGAACCACGACCAATTGGCCGTGATCTCTGAATCAACAATCGCAAATGCAACATGGAATAGACCTACAACACAATACCATTAAACAACTGATCACAATATTCCAATGTGAATATTAACACAAGTAGTTTACGGAAACACTACAAAGCAACCAGGTCATGTGAATGTTCACACTGTGTAATGGTCAGTCATATATCTACACTGTGCCACTCAATGTGAATATTTACATAGATACATAGCTAAAAAAATACTAACCATCATTTCTATCTATCGTCGTTGCTGTAAGTAGCTGACCTTTGTACTTTCCTTTAAGGAATGTTCCATCTAAGAATAGTAAAGGCCAACAAGAATTGTCTCCAAAAATACACGTAGCGAATGATACAAAGAAATGAAAAAACTGTTGACTACTCGCGTCATAATCAATATTGACATAACTCTCTGGATTGTAATGTATCACAGCATCTGAATACCACCGCAGCTGGTCAAACGATAATAAGTGATCTCCATGAATAATAGCCTTTGCTTTCTCCAAACCCAACCATACCAAGTGGTAACTCACATCTAGCCCATAATCCCTCTTCAAAATAGTCACCACCTCACACGGCTGAGTCAACGGCTTGTCCCTTACAATTTCAGATATAGTACTTGACACCAAATCAGAACTAACTCTCGGATTCTTTGATGTTCGGACATTCGCACCACAACTATGCACATCACTGAACCTCTTGATATAGAAAAAACCATTTGCTCGTTGTGCTCTACAATGTATAGACCACAAACAACCTCTCTCCTCGCGCATCGCACACACCACAGTAACCCTTGTTGTCTCGTTCTTGACATACATAAATTGAAACCCGCATTGGGTTGCATATTTACATAAAACATCATGAAATTCTTGTACACCTCTAACAAATCGTTGTCTCACATGCGTAATATCATTTACCCAAGAGACTGACAACAACACCTTCTGCTTATGGTGGCAAAATCTCTAGAGTGCATCAATTTCTTCCTCACTCCACACATGCAGTGATCCAGAGCTACTCGACTGACCAATATCACATTTCAAATCAACGACAACCTCTACATGGTGTAACCCCATTGATTTGGCAAGCAATAACATGTTCTAAAATTCTTCGTCATTGTCCAAATCACACCTATTAATCCTAGGTAGTCGACAGAATAATGAAATAGAACAAGCAGACAACTCGTCCAATTTTTTACACAAACGCTCCACCAAACTCGAAAACACAATGCACGAATCACATTTATTACAATTGTACTGCAACCATATGTGCACACCAACATCATAAAGGTATCCATTTCCTATAAAAATACAACAAAACAAAAGTCAACAACCACGTAACAACCATACGAACAACAACACATGCAATAATCCATACTATATGAATATTCACATTGTGCAAACTAAATGCCTATGTGTACAGTTCCACTGCTAAATCCATAGTGAAAACTACCACCATCATCCTTGCACAACATAAAACATTTTACAAGTTCAAAATCACAACACCACAACAAGGTGACATTACACAACATGCAAGCAACCCTCTATAACCTCATATTAACAAGATGTGAACATTCACATTGTTACATATACTCTGAATTATCTCTCCCACACAGAGACTCATTAAGCAAACATCAAAGTAAAATGAGAATATCCACATTCTTCACATAATCTGAATGACCTCCCCTCCACAGGCCCACGTAAAATGCATATAATTGAACAAACAAAGCATCCGATCCATATCAATCAAAAAACAGAGCATCTCATCCATCATACAAATTAAAACATAAACTGAACATGTATTCATAACCAAAATGATACTAACCTTAATCATGCAATCCTACACTCATCCTGTAACTCGAAAACAACTAATTTAAACTAGTTACACTCTAGAAAATGTCACAACCGAACACCATCCAATCCGTCGTCTTCACTCCAAAATCACCAAACCATACCATAACAGCAACAATGAAACCCTAGCACATCAAAGCCTTGAACCGAGCATGAAAAGTAAAAACGTATCCATCTGAATTAGAATGATGATAAAAAACGTGAAGATAGAAACTACCAAAACAGAATAAACGAAAAAAAAAAAAAACAGAGCATCTTATCCATCATACAAATCAAAACATAAACTGAACATGTATTCATAACCAAAATGATACTAACCTTAATCATGCAATCCTACACTCATCCTGTAACTCGAAAACAACTGATTTAAACTAGTTACACTCTAGAAAATGTCACAACCGAACACCGTCCGATCCGTCGTCTTCACTCCAAAATCACCAAACCACACCATAACAGCAACAATGAAACCCTAGCACATCAAAGCCTTGAAACGAGCATGAAAAGTAAAAACGTATCCATCTGAATTAGAATGATGATAAAAAACGTGAAGATAGAAACTACCAAAACAGAATAAACGAAAAAAAAAAATGCAACATGGTTTGTGTATCAACACAATATATATATATATATATATAAGGGCATAATAGTCTATTTGAAAAAATAAAATTAGTAAAATGGACCTGATGGAATAAAAAGAAAAGTACATGGAACTAATTAAGTTATAATAATCCTTTGTGGACCTAATGGGTTACAACAACTCTAAAATGAATTTATCAATAAAAACCCTATTTTTTTATTATTTTTTTTCAAAATTATGTCAAAAAAATTTTATTTTTCAATTGTCTTGTGTAAATAAATTTAAAAAAAGGCATAATATTGAACCCTTAATATTTAAGGAGAATTTACCTGTAAATCTCATATGATGGAATATTTGATCCATTGAATCTTAAAAAGTTTTGGGCGAATTACACTAGTAGTTTTTATAGTTTGGGGCTCGCGTTACTTTGATCCCTGACTTTTCAATTGAACACATTTGACCCTGAATTTTGAATTTTGTTTCAAATAAGGACAATTAAAGATACTATTGCTCAATTTTAAGGACAAAGTTGTCAATTTGATAAAATATAAACTAATTTGTCAAAAATAAATGCCAAAAAAATATTTTTGAATTTTTTAAAATTTTTTCTATGCACCAAAGATAAAATTATGTAAAATTGATAAATCTTTTACACATTTAATTATTTATTTATTTTATCAAATTAATTTTTATTATATGTTTGGATTATTACCATATAATAGGTGGTTATTAGGTTTTTCTAATATGTACTCGATACATTCAATATATGAAATGTTTTTAGCTTTAGATTTATTTATTTATTTAATGGATTGGTTTAATAATGATATCAAAGTTGTCACCATATTTAACTTTTGAAAAAAATAGAAACTAATTTAATAAAAATAAAAATAACTATTACATGATCATCATCTAAACTCATAATAAAAATTAATTTGGTAAATAAATAAATAAATTTGTAAAAGATTTATCAATTTTACATAATTTTATCTTTGGTAGGTAGAAATAATTTATAAAAATTAAAAAATATTTTTTTGACATTTATTTTTGTCAAATTAGTTTATATTTTATCAAATTAATGACTTTGCTCTTGAATTGAGCAATGGTATCTTCAATTGTCCTTATTTGGAACAAGATTCAAAATTAGGATCAAATGTGTCACAATTGAAAAGTCAATGACCAAACTGATACAAATCCCAAACTATATGGACCATCAGTGTAATTTGTCCAAAGTTTTTCTTATGAACCAATTAGTCATTTTTCTTTTGAAAAGTCATATTTATCTGATTTGGTGCTATTTGAGTTTACACGAATGCCCTTTGTGATTCATCTTTTCAATTTTCTAATTTATTTTTGGAATGAGAATGAAAAAGTGAGATGCGAAATATTCTTGGTGGGAGGATTGGTGAAGTATTGGCTGTTAAGCGTAAAAATTTACATTTCTGTTGTGTGATTTTCTGGTGTTACATTAGAGTGTCATGTTAGAGTATTACGTTTAGAAAAATACATTAAGAAGTTTTTGTGTTATATTGATTGGAGTGTTGTGTTTAGAAAAAGTACACTAAGAATTTTTTTTAGAATGTTACATTGTTACGTTTGAGAGAAGTACACTAAATAATTTTTTAGTATGTTATATTGGAATGTTACGTTTGCGAAAAATATGCTAAGTAATTTTTTTTAAATATTATGTTGTTACGTTTAAAAAAATATACTAAAAACTTTTTTAGTATGTTATATTGGAGTGTTACGTTTTTTGAGTCTTACATTGTAGTATTACGTTTGAAAAAAATATATTAAGGAATTTTTTTGAAATGCCATATTTTGTAATTTCAACATTATGAAATAAACCCACATTTGTCCCTCAAGACATAATACACGTGTTTATGCTCGCCCCTTCATGTAATTCATATTAGAATAGGATCTTTGGGTCTTAAAAAAAAAAAAAAATACTAAACAATTTATAAGATCATTATTTAAGATTTATTGGTGTTTCACTCATATTTTAAAGGGCCTTCAAAGGGGTGTTTTGGGAAGATGGTTAAAAGTTAATTTTTTAACTTTTTTTTTTTAAAACTTTTTTCACTGTTTCATGTGAGAGGTAATGTGACCCAAAATAAATTAAAAGTTGACTTTTAACTTTTTTGATAGGTTGCCAAAGCAACTCTATTTATTGTGGCAAATATCTCACTCAATTATATAAAATTTGAGTATTTATTGTGGCAAATATCTCACTCAATTATATAAAATTTGAGTAATAATATACGCAGAAAAATTATACAAAACGATGTGACACAATTTTAAGCTAATCATTAAAAAGCAAAGAGCTCCTAAAAATGCTTTTAATTACAAAATTAACATTGATACATTATTATTGTGTACAAGAATTATAGTGACAATAGCCTCTATTTTTCTTTTAAATAAAATTTTGAGTTCATATATTTGTGTGAAGTTAGAATAAAGTAGAGATTTGCAAAGCACTTAAATTATAGAAAGAAAATGGTTAGAAAGAATTTGATATTATTTAATGGAATAGAATGGACTGGAATAAATATATATGCACGGAGTTTGTTAGATCATCTTTAATTTTTTTATCAAATTTTCATCAAATTTAAATTTGATAAAAAAATTAATAAAAATGTGCTCCAACATTAATATCAAATCCATATCAAATTCAGAATATCTTAAATCTTTCATCAAATTGAGAATGCCTGAGTCTTTCATCAAATTACTGTAAATAGCCGTTAGTTTTACAAGTATGCATGAGCACCAGATGACCGGCCGATTATCCCTCTGGTTGACTACCTTCTTGCAAAATTTGTTTCAGGATTTTGAAAAATTTACACTAACCGGTTGACTGGCCGGACATCCTCTTAGTCGACCGGTGGTTTGATAAAATTTCAGATTACTCTGTTCGAACGCGCGATATCAGATGAAGTTTTTATTTAAATTTTTACTCAAATTTGTTGAAAAAAAAAAGAAAAAAGTGAGTAAATGTTAGAGATGTTCTTGGTGAGGGAAGTGGGTATAGTTTATTTATAAAAATTATTTTAAAATTAAAAATTTGATAACATGTGTGGTAAAGTGTCACGTAGGTGGGTATAGTTTATTTATAAAAATTATTTTAAAATTAAAAATTTGAAAAAATGTGTGGTAAAGTGTCACGTAGCTAGTGCTATTTATTTATTTATTTTTATAATGTTTTTAGTTTAGTGATGTGTTACGATGGTCAGCTCTTTTCTATTAGAGGAATTTGTAATTAGGCGTTTACGAAAAAAAATGATACAAGGATTGTTTAACAATGATCAAAATTTTAATTTTTGGACTGTTTCTTATTTTAAATTGATCAAAATATTATATTAAAATATTTTATATTTTAATTATTTTAGTATTGGAAGGTAATTGATAATATAATACACTTTTTCTAGCAAAAATTAAGGTGAAGGCATTTAAATAGCAACCCTCATACCTTTTTTTCATTTATTCTGAAGGTAAAATTCCATCACTTTGTTTGGTTTGGATTTTTTAAAAATATTTTTTAGAAAATTGTATTTTTTTATTTTCTGTATATTTTTATTTTTACTAATTTTTTTTAATATTTTAAGCAATTTTTTTTTAATTTTTAGACACACCTAACATAAATACACTTAAAAAATATAATATTTATCTTTAAAAAATTCACTAAATACCAAAAAATATAAAAAAATAAAAATTCAGCATATTTTTCTTATTTTTGTGTATTTATTAATTTTTATTTTTTTTTTGTAAATATTTTACTTTTTAGATACATCTAAATAAGATAGATATAAAAAAGTAAAAAATACTTAAAATTTTAAAAATATTCACTAAAAACAAAAAAAAAAACAAAAACAAAAAACAAAAAATTCAATTTTCTAAAAACTTAATACAAAAAACTCAAACCAAACATCCTGATAAGTTTTTGTAAAATCATTTAAAATTTCACGTGAATTCTCTTTTTCACCAAATCGACAAAATTGAACCGCAGAATATAATTTTTGTGGATTCCTCATCTATCAAAAC